CCAGAAGTACAGACGGTTATCACGCGATGCCCCGACGTGGCTCATCTCCCGATCAAATGGCTGGCGATGTGCTTGTTGGGGACGAAAACGGTGACGCAGCGGCGTGCGACACTGGGTTTCCACCGACACCCACCCTCGAGAGCGAATCCGAGCCAGAGTCAGACGTATCTGATGCTCAACAAGAACTGGACGTCATCGATGACATGGAGGACGCCATTGAACTCAGTCACGGTCTGGCAAGGAGATTCTTGGAGACGACGTGGGGTTCCACCTGTGACTGCGATGAGCAGAGTCGGGTGGAACCCGAGGAGCCTGCGTTCAACCTGGACCAGATGGCACAGTACTGGCAAAGGCTAGGAGTGCCGGATGCCTTTGGCGCCTCGCTGCTGCCGTCCATGTCAGCCGAGAGGGATAGCACGCGACTGGACTGGTCATCTATCTTGAGCGGAGGAACCAACCGTCCGCGGCTGGACATCAAGAGGTCGCAAACCATGCCTCCCGATACCCACCGCACCTGGGATGCGGACAGCGTCATCTGCTATGCCTCCTGCCTGTCCATCAACAGGGGCCTCTATATCTCCTATCATCCGCCTGTGTCGAGGAACATGAAGACCAGCGTTCACATTTACCGCCACGGCAAGGCGTTGCACACTATTCCGCACTTCCGACTGGGCAGTGGTCGTCAGTCGCACGCTGGTGCCGGTGAGGCAGACAACTGGAAAATATCACTCGGAAGGCAGGCATTACAACACTTCTGGATCATACCTCATCACAACAAGCATAGCTGGTTCACCAGGCCTCCGAAGAACTTACGAAGGTCTGATGGCGCGCGTCCATTTATTTCTGGCCTCTTCAAGACGAACGTCGCCGAGAACAGTGCAGATCTCTGTATCGCGGATAGGTGGTTATTTGGTGGACACAAGTACATGCCTGGCCCCCAAGTCTGTATTGTGCCACGAGCTGGATCCACGAGTAATGTTACGACTAACACTCCAGTCCACAACATTGACTTTGGTTGCCGGTTTTCGTTCGTCGACGTTCCACGGTTGGTTGAGGAAGGTTAAAAGCGGCCGACCCGACGGCGTACTCCGGGGCGGTTAAGAAAGCCGGCGAAAAGGGCATCTGGGGGAGCTGGACGGCAGCAACGATTACGGGGGGGCATATGCCTCTGTCGAGGGCAGACTGGTAGTGCGCGCGTTGGCGGCGAACGTGGGCATGCTTGCGAGCAAGAAGGTACTTGTGGACGAGATTGGCCGGCCACGTCGCAACGGCGGCCTCCTTCGCAGACCTAATCACCATAATCCCACTCCCCTACCGCGGGTCCTCCACGCCCGAGCCGCGGTGGAGGTGATGGGAGAGGTGGCCGAAGCGGCAGAGACAGCAGCGGCTGGATCGACCGAAGTAGCAGAAGAGGCGGCAGCGGGCATTCTGTACGTGAAATGAGGACGTCAGCGATTGGTCGCTGCAGAGTCCCGGATGTAGTCAAGAGCCAAGGCAACGGAGTAAAAAAGCCAAAGGGCAACGGAGTAAAAAAGCCAAAGGGCAACGGATATGCGAACGGAAAGCCAGCTCAGAGTGGTTTTGAAGACGGGCAGGCGCCTCGATCGGCTAGTTCAGCTACTAGAACTGGCTCCCTCGATCAGCAGTATTGGTCAGGCCCTCATGGCTCCTTGGGCCATCCTCCGGCCCAGATCTCCTCATACCGACCGTCACAGCATGATCCAGGCCTTCACGGGGCACGGGTGAGAAAGATCGGTGCTGCATCAGCGTGGTGTCAGAGTTTTGTATGTGTGGGACTCGATGAATTCACGATATCCACTTCCTAGCCATCACCCTCGCTGCGTAACGTCGCTCACCAGTGACCGCAACACCAGTGACCAGTTAGCCTAACCACCAGATTGTGGAAGGCGCATGTGTTTTACGACCCAGCCGAGAGTCCCTCACCGAGGTCGAGGGATATTTGTGGTTCGTTCGTGATAGTCTGCCGCAGCCGATTGGCCGATTACTCGCCGATTGGGCTCAAGTCAGTGAAATACCTCGGCCGCCCCGACCGTCATGCACTTTGGCCGCCCCGCAGGTGACATGTTCGGGCGCCACATCAAAATCATCCACCGCCTCAACTGACTCTGACCTCACGCGTAGCCTAAGCATACTACGAATCCCTACAAATCCAACTGGCTCGTTCAGTGAATACGCGAGTGGCCCAATTGCGGCACACTCGTTAACGCGCTCACTTTCTGTTGAATATCGCTCGCGGTTGGGGTAGTCAGTCTCCCGCTCGCCCGCCCAGTACCGGCAAAATTGCCCCTCCACCCATCCTGTGGGGCCTTGATCGCAAACCCCATGACGTACGGCGGAGGATTGCGATTGTACGGGGAAAGCCCGATGTTCAGAGCATGGCAATTTCTGATCGGGATTTACGAAACGCAGAGAGACTGCTGGGCTGGGCTTGTTGCGACTTTTTGCCTTGGCAAACATGTCCCACCTACTTCAGCGGAACGACATATTAATGCGTAGTACACGACCGTGTCGATCTCGCGTCTTCTCGCAGATTTAAGGTACCTTGCCTACTTTATTACCGAGCCATTCCATTCGGACGCTATGGACGTTATGGCAAACCGTGGAAAGCCGCGGCCAAGGCGCCAGCTTACTCTTAAAGCCTGTAACATGTGTCGCAGAAAACGAGCGAAGGTTTGCTCGCAGTTGCCACTCGGGCTACTTGAAGCTGACCTACTTCTCTCTAGTGCGACGGGCAAATGTCCTGCCAGAGATGCATACGACATGATGTGGAATGTTGCTATGACGAAAGACGGTGGCAGTCAAAAGATAGCTTGCGGCATGAAAACGAGCGCCTTCGAAGTGAACTACAGGGGAGCAATCTTGTACTAGCCGCGTTGGCTCGGTCACCCTTTGCTCGACATATCGATCAATGGCTTCAGGAACAGCACTCCTGTGGGTATATGGACTACCTGCCCGACAGAAGACACCAGATGGCCGATTTCGTCGACTACGACTCGGACAATGCTCTGCTGAAAGCAACAGGCGGTACGGACTTAATGGCCGACCAGATGATGACGCAAACGAACCTTTTACCTATAGGAGATGGGGGGTTTCAACACTATGTTGAGCCGCAGCCGATGCTTGTAGCTCCCATAGGAGCGGCTATGGACGACAGGTTCCCACTTGGAACATTCGACGAAACGCCCAACCCTACGTGGAGGCAAGCGGCTACGCTACCACCGCAATAACGACAGCAACGAAAACGTACCGCACGAGCCCGAGGTGGGTGGTGAGGCGAAAGTGACTCCTTGGAAGGAAGCCGAGCGAGCAATAGGCAAGCAGTTTGCCAGAGTAAAGAGAGCACATCCCGAGGACGGCAGCATGGTCCTGTCGAACGGGACTGATAAGCCAGTGAAGATAATGTGGCCGGCGCTGTCCTCCAAGAGCGAGCCGCCAACGGAGCGTGCCAGAGAGGCTCCGACACCTGTGACGAGGTGATTGAGGTCCGGCGGAGTACGTTAGAGAGGCAGGCGAGCTCGTCGGACGTACGGACCATTGCTGCACGGAGAAGGCTTCCCTGGCTGCTTTGAGATGTGTATGAAGTGCGGCCTTGCCGGCGGCGTATTCTGCAGTTGTTAAGAACGAGGCCGAAAAGGGCAACTGCGCGAGCTGGACTGGAAAAGCGATGACGGGGGGATTGGCGTCTCTCTCTCGAGCGGACTGCTAGGAGGAGCGCTGGCGGCGAACATGGGCGTGCTTGCGAGAGATGGTACTTGTGGACGAGACATCGTGGTGCAGAGGCGGGTGAGGGCAAGGTGGCGTGAGGGGCTATCGCTTTGCGACTGTGCCGACCGATCGCTGTTTTGAACCAGCTATGCGCCACTCGGATCTGAGTCACTTGCAGCTTCTTGAGAGCCGGTCAGAAACACCAGCTATCTCGGTGCGGGGAAGGGAAGGAGTGGGCCGGAGCAAAAGCTCCGCGAGACGAGAATGAAGCGAGGTAGGCAGCGAAGCTACAGTATCAGGTCATTAGTGGTGCAGCAACGGCGCACCCATACGATAGCCTCCAGGGCCAAATCAACGCATACGGGAAGCCATAACCTGCACGTAAATTAGGCACGTATTTTACCTAGCACCACCTTGGAGAGGTGGCTCATCGGGCAGGGAACAAGCACCCAGGAGCTCCTGAGACACCGAAAGGCCGCTAGACGTTTGTTTACATTGGATCATTTGTCCCAGAGAAACGCGAGGCGAATGCTCTCCCCACCCGCCAATATGGGCGAAGCTAGGTAGCCAAGGCTCAAGTGATGTGTAACCGGTCGTCACCATGACGCAGTTCCACCGACGCACCAAAAGCCGACCAAACTGAGCTTACGCGCCGCTTCGACTATTTTCGATTGGTTGCCACGGAAGGTCCTGCTCCAGCCGGCGGTGGATATGCGCGATCGGGGTCGGGTCGCCACTGCGCGCAGAGCTGCTCACCTGTACGGGTCCGTTTGATGCACAAGAGTTCATCATTCACACAACAGTGTATGCAGCCAACCTCAGTCAAATGGATGGCGATAGGGAGCGCCACGCCCGCGTCAGTGTGGTGGAACAAAGCGCTGAGACAGCAACCCAAACAGAGTCCGCGACGCAGTCAGCAGGCTCAGCGACCGCGTCAGCCAGCGAACAGGCTTCGCCCAAGCCAAAGCACGATCAGCCGAAGCGAAGCCGGGCCGCCGCCTTCGTAACTCCCAATGCCTGCACGGAGTGCCGTAAGAAGCGCGCAAAGGTAAGGATGTTATTGCTTGCGTATCTCCTGCCACCTACTCTTTTTCTTCGAATGCTTGTGAATCCAAGGCTGCAATTTTGTGGCAGCGTTTCGTCATCGGGACTGCCAGAAATTGAACCAGCACCCCCACCACGCAGTCTGATACCTTCGCAGCCAGCGGCGGAAACGCTACCCACGGGCGTCCCAGTCACAGATACGTGTACGTGATCAACGCTACAGAATCGTAATGGCAGGCGCGAATGCGACAAAAGCCCAGCACGAAGTCGCGTTGACTATCCCCGCGTTCTACTGCCCGATTGACGGAGCTCGCCACCCTGCGGTTGAAGCGATCGAGCGTCGGTGCGTCGAGTGGATCGACCAGTTCCAATTCTGCAAGACGCCGGCCGAGCGAACTTGGCTTCTCGCCTCGTTCTCTGCCGATTTCTGCGCGAGGTTTGCGCCGAGGGGCAATTTCGACGGGCTGCTGCTGTACGCACAATGGGTTTACTGGGCATTTGCCTTCGATGACGCCTTCTGCGATGAAGGGCCAATGAGCACGGACCCGGGCGCATTCGGAATATATGCTGGACAGGTCCAGCGAGCGCTGGAAGTGTCATGCTCCTCGGAAGGCCCGGACAATAGCGACCTTGTCCATAAGGACCCGTACATCGCTGCACTATGTGACATAGGCTACCGGGCTCGGCGACTGGCTACACCGACTCAGCGCCGTCGTCTGCTCGACAACCATAGACGTTGGTTGTTCGGCGTGCAGTGGCAAATCAGCAATCGAGCCAAGAAGCTGACTCCCGGGCTCGACGACTACTTTGGTATGCGACTGGGATCCTGCGCCGGAGCGCTCACGCTCGGCTGGATCGAGATCGCAAACCAGACTGAGGTCCCCCCCGCAGAGATGGACTTACCCGCTGTCCAAGCCCTCACTGAAATGGCAAGTTTGGTCGCCGCCATGGACAACGATCGGCACTCGCTGCCGAAAGACACAGTGCTGGATCTCGCCGACCAGAACTTCGCTATTGTCATCGCACAACACCACCATCTAGACATCAATCAAGCGCTTCAAGACGCGATAGCCATCAGGGACAGGATCTTGGTCAGGTTCCTTGACCTGCGTGCACAAGTACGCCCAAATGCCAGTGAGGCCCTCGGACAGTATCTCGACGATCTCGGCCATGCTGTTCGCGGTAATGCTGATTGGGGCATGCGCGTGACCCGATATCACAACTACGCCGACCGATGTACCGCTCCGGAGCTTATCTACACCAACCAGCACCTTGACTGGGCCGCCCAGCCAGCCGATAAACGAACAGACTCCTTGCCATACCCGTCTCTGCGGTGGTGGTGGGACGACAATCTGGTGGTCGGCAATGTGAGCGAATCCTCCCCCACAGGGACCAACAGAAGGATCTAGCCCACATAATCATATGAAACCCGGGCACCCTTTAATTGCCTCACTCTTTAAATCCCGTAGTATCAAGCAGTCATCTATGTCATCAAAAATGCTTTGCTCCATCTTCTGCTACGGGCCATGGCTCAATTTGTTTCGTCTGCTTTCTGTCAAATTCTGTGCGAGTAGGACCGGTACGGCGGTACTGCGTGGCCGCCATGAACTGCCCAGCAGTCGTTCGTTGAAGCGGTGGTTCCACTGAAACAAGTCTCGGGTTTTAGTGTCGCGAAGGCGGCAAAGCATTGCGGAGCTCTGACGCAGTCATGCAGGTCACGGCGTGCATATGTGCGTTGCATCATCTCGGTGCGAACCGCCCGTCACCACCCGGAGCTGAGAGACAACAGACTGCACTTGCTTACTACTGTTAACAACACCTACACTATATTGATGGCCACACTACGGTACATTGAATTGCTTCGCATCAAGTGCTTTGCTCTGGGCCTCGTCCAGGAGAGACTCGGGAAATCGCGTTAGATTGGACCTGGCATGGCCTTGGCTAGCCTTTTGATCTTTGCATAATGGAGCCCGCAAGCGTTACACAGAGTCCTTGCACCGTTTGGGCCACCCCTCCATTCAGGCGTTTCAGTCGCACCACAGCAATTACAGGTCACATGGAGGTCAGTGGGCTGCGAGCGGCGTCAGCTTGTATTCTTTCCGATGCTGACTCGTAGGGCGTACTGTTGGGCGTTTTGGTAACCTGGCAAGATAGTTTTCTAGCTCCAGGCCGGTTCTGTGGTCGTCGCAGGTGACACTTGGTCTTTTCAGTGAGTACCAAAGGCCAGCACAGGCCGCGCCATGAATTGGGGCAGTCATACCTTTGCTCCTGCAACGCGCGGCCAATGAAATCTGCATATAAAAGCATATTGACAACCTCCTCGGCTATTGGCACGCCTTCTTGAACATTGAGTGGTCCGGGGTGAAGTGGAATATATGTCTCTGCGAATCGAATAAGGTGTTGGGTGGCGAGTTTGATCTGTGTTAAGCGAGAAACATATGCATCGACACCGTGATCGTTTTGGCCAATACTGTCGGAAAAAAATCGATGCCGGTAGACCCTTTTCTGGCGCCGGCTGCGATGCCTGAGTTGAATATTAGGGCCAGAGCCTCTCTCCCTACTTCTTCTTGGTAAATCTTCCGTTTTTGATGGGTCAAGTTCATGAACTCGGCAGTGCTCGCAAGATTCTCCGTCGCTCAAGAAGTACGATGCTGGCGGCTGGATCGCGCTAATGGCGATTGGTTCGGGCGTAACGCGGGAGCTCAGAAAGCCAGTACTCGGTGAAGTAGACAAAGGAAGTGGATCTAGCCTGCTGCGACGTCTGGAATTCAAGGGTCGAACCCGTTGCTGTCCAGCCCTGCGATAGACGTTGAGCACCGAGCACCACCAGTGGCTCCGCAACTGGAAACGGGCAAAGCTCGATATAGTGACTGCTTACCTACCAAGTTGATCAATCACGACCGCGTTGAGATGTAGGACACCAGGTGAGGGAACCGGCACGCCTGTTCCTCGCTGCAAAAACCGATCGTAGGCGCCGGTCTCTAGACCCGGGATAATTGATCGTATCAGAGGCAGCGACTGACTGCCCGACAGTCTGCCTCGTTCCATCATCGAGAATTACTCGAAAGGGCAATTGAAGGCAAGGGTTTCTGTCACCATGCTTTAATCGCATTGACACCATGTTGCACAGGCACCACTGTTGTGCACCAAGGGGCATTTGTATGGCACGCGGCCCCGCGTTTATCACGGTTACCCCCTCACCCTCAGGCAAAGCGGAGAGAGCGGGACCGGCTACGCTTCTTTAAATGTCGGAGACCAAGTACCGCATTCCATCCACTGAGCCCTCGCGGGTAGTGGTGGCCAATCTTGTGAGATCTGGTGCAGTAAGACAGGGATGCAACCGGCTGTAATCGGCCTAGGCACCGAACAATCGAGACCTTTGACGCCTCGTCCACGGACGTAGACAATGGTAAGACGGCCCGCACCGCTGGATGTGTGCGCCACCGTCGCAGAGCCTGCGGGGCCTGGCGTCACGCTGAGAGCTGGAGCATAACGGAGGAGTCCAAGCCATACCGCAGATAGTGTTCATTTGCGGGGTGGCTGGAGCAATTTCCACCTGCGGCTTAGCCCCTGACGCCGGGCGCACAAGAAGGCAAAGGGTTGGAAAGTGTCCAACCAATGAATGGTCTACTCGCTCCCACTGCAGCGTCGCACGAAACACGGGACCGAGGGAAATAGCCGCGATAACCGTCACAAGGCGAATGTAATCCATCAGCCCCATCCATTTATCCTGCGTGAACGAACATATTCTGCGTTGCTTTCCGACTCGGCCAGGCGAGGGTACTGTCAGTGTCGGGGACTGCCTCCTGGAATAGGGGAAGTTGGCGATGTCCGGCGCCAAACAACACTGGCAGCTACAAATGCCTGTCAAGCAACACCCTCACCTGCTTCCTGCCCTGCAATTCTCCAAAATCGTGTTTCCATTATGTTTCCTGCCAACTTTGGGTTTCACACAGTGGCGCTCACACAGCAGCGGAGAATCTTTAGGGGGCGACTTCCACGAAGGTGCGCATGAGGGGTGGCAGTGATCAAGCCTGACCAAGTCAGTCTCTCAGCTATGCCCCCCCGGCTCGGCTACCCCTGCTGTACCTGCCGCACGAACGGGTAGAAACCAGATGGCGCTGCATCATCCAAGAATAGGCTGAATAATGCGATGCAACCGTCCTGGTAGGCGCCCGAGCGTGCTGGTGTCTGCATCCATACAGCTACCAACCCACCAAGTTCCGCACACAGACACACCCTGGTTCGTCGTCCCTGAATTGCCAGTCGGGCATGCTTGCCTTGAAATGGCCTTGGCTGACTTGCGAAATCAACAAGGGTGCGTTGGAGTCTCCTGTCATAGCGCCCAACGCGCTCAGCAAGGCACGCGGCCGGAAACATTCCAGAATTGCCGTTATCATGCTGCCGTTTCTTTCTATGTACGACAGAGCTTTTGTGTAATAACGTATCGCGTGCTACGAAAGCACGGTGGTCACTAAAGTGGGTTTGCAGAAGCAGGCGAGTCCGTGCGTCCTCGAACGTATCTTAGCCACATTTAGCCGACTGCCCAGACGGGTTCGCCACCGCGGGTCGCGCGCCATCCGCCTCAGTTACGCCTCGCCGTTCACTTTACCTCCGCCACACAAAACAGGTGCCGAGCTCATTAAATAGCGGGTTCTCCACCATAAACGATGTCCCTGCCATCTTGACCCGCAATACTACATGTCAGAACAGGTATCCAGGGTGGCAATGGAGGACCGAAGTGGCCAGATCGTTGCCGTAAATGTTGTTTTTCTCGTCCTAACCACCATTGTCATCGCACTTCGCATCTACTGCCGAGGATGGATAATACATTCCTTCGGTACAGATGACTACACAATGTTTTTGACTTGGGCATGCCAACCGTTAGGGTCTGATTGATTGCAACGTTCAAAATTTAGCTAATCGTGTGCTAGGTTGTTTTTTTGCTATACCCCACGACGCAGCTCCTCGGTGTGCGTTATGGTACAGGCAAGCACCGCGAAGTCTTGAATCCGAGCAGCAACAGAGCGGCGCTTATGGTAACAATCCTGCTGGTAATATCGTCTCGTCGCGTAATTAACTTTTATAGTGGTGGTTTGGGTGTGAGTTGCTCTATATCTTCTGCACGTGCTTCCTCAAAATATCTGTTGGGTTCTTCCTGCTGCGCGTTGCTGTTGATCTCAAGCACATTTGGATTCTCCGCATCTCCATGGTTCTGACCATTGTCTTCGGCCTCTCGTACTTCTTTATGGTTGTTTTCCAATGCTCGCCAGTGTCTGCTTTCTGGGAAATAAATCCCAGAGCACCAGACAATTGTTTGCCTGAAGGACCTATCATAGTGATGACATACACGGCATCATGTCTGAACTGTATTGCGGACTGGGTTTTCGGTATCCTGCCTGGATTCATCGTGTGGTCTCTCAAAATGCCACTGAAGACAAAGGTCTTGGTCATTGCCATCCTGAGTTTCGCTGCCATGTAAGCTCGCAGCCATGAATCCAGAGCTGGGAGCAATGGTGAGGGACTGACATCTTACAGAGGCAGTAGTGCGACGATATTCCGATCGACTTTCATCCCGACCCTTCTGGAGGGCGACGACTTTTTGTGTCTGTTTGTCCCTATACCAACGTACATAATTTGCCCAGCTAACCAGAGACTCTAGACGCCACAAGTGATGTAGCCATATGGAGTACTGTTGAGCCCGGCATCGGAATATCCGCGGCGTCGGTAGCGACTCTACGGCCATTCTTGCAACTCATGAGTTACAAGATAGGCTTTTCCAGTAACGGGCCAAGCAACCCGGCCTGGCAGGAGCGCAACAACGGCCCACGGTTTCGGCTAGGATACATCAGAAGCAACAGCTCGCCCCATGTATATCAGAAGCACCTAAGACCGGACGATGCAGTCGTTGCAACGGTAGACACGCACTTAACTGCATAACCACTGCCAGTGCTGCTATGTAACTGGGACAAGCTATCGCAATAGGCATATCTGCATTGAGGGGAGAATTGCGCATGTATGAAATATTAACCGTCGCAGTCATGGTTATCAATGAAGTTCATGTTGCCCAGTAGGCGAAGTGTAACAGATCCTTGGCAGGTTCCCAAGGTCTGCTGTTGCTTAATGGGTCAGCTAGGTTTGAAAGCAGTTAAAAATTCAACAAGAGTCCGCAAAGAAGCTTTGAAGACTTCTCATTCATATGAGTGCATAGATTGATCACCGAAGAGGAGAGTATCTGCTCCTGAATAATGGCTGTAGTATATACATAGCCATCGAGCTGTTCATTGATCAGTTTGCTCAGTATCGATCCTTCTGATCGAAGTGAGCCTTGCTCACTTGGCACAGTGGTGATCCCATTGATCCTCGGCGGCACGTAACAAGGCACATGATTGGGAATTGCGGATCGACT